TTTATTTCGCATTTTTACATTTATTGTTTTATTCATATTCTTTTTAAATGAAACTCATTATCAACTAATACCAACGCTACAAGGCAGATTAACTCTAGTCATCATCAAATTTTGTTTACACGGGATTAAACTTAGTTAATTATTAATAATAATTTGACTTCTATAAACTGTTACCATCTTTATAAGTTTCACTATCTTGGTCTGTTACAACCCTTATTTTTTATTCATCTCTGGTAGCTTACATGTCATTTCATTCTAACAACTCGTGTCCTTCAATCTTTTCTTATGGTTGCACGTCTAGATCGTTTTAATCTCAAGAAAATAGAATTATTTTCCTCACTACATTCAGTTTTTTTAATATTGAGTTTTCATCTTATTTTGAAAGCAAGAAGGGCCGAGTTCCATCCTGGACCGACCGCATATTATATATGGTCCATCGGGACTTTGCTCTTGACCATCATCTTAATTTAGATAAAAAGATAGATAAGCGATCACCTACTCCTTCGCGAAAGCATCCGGTTCGCGGCCCCCCATCAGAAGTTGAACAAAAGTTCCCTATTTCTCGTTCAATCAACAAGCCTGTGCAACATCCAGAGGCACATCTTCTTCTATATACCGCCCTCCCTGAGTATCATCATTCAGATCATCGTCCTGTTATTGCCAAGTTCAATTTCGCCATTCCAGACCGCTGGTTTTGCTTGCCTGTTCACTTTCTTGAACCGAGTTCATACAGTAAGTTCCTTAACTTTTGGCACATATCCCTGATTATTTGATCAGTCTCAAACTCTTGAGCTTTTACGTTAACTTTTTTGTGGCTCTGCTCATAAGTGCATTCATTTCACCCAACTTACACACGGCTTATTATTTCGAAAAGTAGTAACAGGGCCGCTGATCTTTTTTCTGCATTAACAATTCCTTTTCATCCATATACTTAGATATTTAAGATTTGAAGTAAAAATTTTTAATAGGAAGGCTAAGACTTTTATCACCAAAATCTAGATTCTACTGCAGAAATAGTTTACTTAAGATTCTATTGTTGTTTTGTTCTGTTTGAAATCTTCACGAGGTCTTCTTGGAGTTGCCTCAAGTAAACTTGAGTGCAGTAGTCCTCAGTCACTTAATCCCAAATATTGTATTTTGTAGCTTTTATAAAAGTATAGTGTAGGTTTGACCATATTTTGCAATTTGTTCGTAACAACAGGGAGACTTTGCGGAACGTAACTAGTCCTGCGTCTTCTCCCATAGTATTTATGATTTTCACTATCGGGCCCTTGATTTGGAACATTCCAAGACGTTTTGCCGGCATCGTAAGTGAGAGGCGCCATCGTTAGGACAGAGTTACAACTTATCAAATTGGCAAATGAAGACAATCGCTTTGAGTAAAATCTGTTCAACCGTTGTGGTATCACTCCTCGCCCTTAGTTTTTGCCCTTATAGTGCCGGATCTATTTCTCCCAATCCAACCTTATATTATAGCCAGGAGGACTAAGATGGTGTGACCTTCTGTTTGGTTGCAGTCATATCGCATTGCCACCTGATATCGCCTATTTACCCATTCATACAATTCTGCGTTCTCGTTTATTTCAATGTCGCTTAGAATTGTGTCGGTACAAAAGTATTTAGAGAAACAATCACCTTAACTACCGGTTTCAGATGGCATTAGCAGGGCGTCTGGGTTATGACGGCATCCTAGAGACAAAGTGAATTCGAAGAGAATATAACCTGATTAATCAACCTATCAATAAGAACTAACTATTCAACGTCCAATGTCCGCATCTGTGAACAAATATTTGGCATAATACTGGCATTGATCTAGCCCCCATACATAGGGCTATGCGTGGGTTCCCTCGGAGCTGTGGTTGGTGATTTGTG